CCCCCCCCACCCCACCCCCCCCCCCCCCCCCCCCCCCTCTTTTTTTTTTTTTTTTCCTCTAAAAACGATGTTAAGTTACCGAATATTCAGCCCTAAGATTTTTCCTTTTTTATTGTTGTTTTTGTTTTTGCTTTTGGAGCAATTGAGACAATCAATTCGCGGTGCCGAATGATGATATAAGGAGGTATGCGCTTTCGGCGCTTAGTGTTGGGAGGCTGCTGCTTCAGCAATACTCAGGGTGGCGATTTCGGAAAACGATTTCTTAGGTAAGATCCAGGCAGTTCATAAATTAGATGTGCGCACACACACACTTTTCAAACATCTTCCTATCCTGCAGAAAAGATCATTCGAGTAACATTATTAGAAACTAAGCCGTGTGCGGTGTGGCTTTCAAAGCGTGTGCTTAAATTCTCATAATTTCGTGGGATTGGTCATCCAGAAGCGTGTTTTTTTTCTTTTCTTTTCCTTTTTTTCCCGTCTGTCTAGGTAAATATAACAACCACTGAGCTGGATTTGACATTCTAGGCTGCAATAATATTCTTCTATTCTCGCATTTTCATTTCCTCGACATGGTTAGGAGGTTCATGGTTTTTCCTCTGAAACAACCCTCACTCTGCCTTGTTCCCGAACGAGTTTCCTTGCAGGAACCGAGCACGCCTGTGTAGTCTGCAGGGTCTGCTGAATTTCGTTCCCTCCCTTCCCGTCAGTGCTGGCTTGGCTGAGCGCTCTCATTATTACTCCTCCTGCCAGTGCCACTGCTTTAATCCCAGTTACTCGCGTTGCGATTACATATTGGATTTGCCTTGTGAAATACCTAAGTGCACGAGCAATCTGCAAACCGGCACTGCGGCAGAACAGCGTTTTCCTGAGCTTTGCTGCGTTCCCCGCTTCCTAACACAGCCTGCCCGAAGGACGACTCTTTTGAAGTCAATCACATGAAACCCGAAGTCCTGACACGCACGCAATTCAAAACCAACAGCACTACACGATCACGAGCAGAGCAAAGGGTAAAAAAAATCAGAATCAAAAGGAAACATCCACGATTTCTATTATTTACGGGGAGCTGCCTATGCAGCTCAGGGCATTTCAAGACTTGTCATTGTCTGTTGTGTATAGGTATCTATGAGGTCTGCAGGCATGCGTTAATATAAGCACATCTGCGGGCAGCGCTGCGCCTTGCAGGGAGGAAGGTTTGATGGCTGAGCAACCCCTCATTGCTTCACCTCCAACTTGCCATTTAATTACTGGCATTAAGGGTGTTTAGATAGCAATTTCCCCTTCAATCCGAAGGGTACAAAACAGACTTACTGATACCATAATGAGGCAGGAAATTTTACGTGTACTACAGTAATCCGGGTTCATAATTGATGGCTAAGAAAATAACCATTTGTTTTTCGGCAGAGGAAGTAAAAGTTACCATGTCAGGGAGCATATGTGGATATTACTTTATAAATACTTAGTTGAATAAAGCTGGCGTGTAAGGGCTCATAAATTTATTATATCAGAAAGGTCCCCACTTTCCCATTAGTTCATGCGAAGGGCTGTGATTGAGACCACCTGTTCAGCGGGAGGAAAAAACGGGGAGGGCAAAACGCCTTCCTTATTCCAAACCATATATAAAGCAATGTCACCCTTCCTTTCCACATTATTTAACACTGATTACTGGGGGAGGGAGCTGCAGACCCAGTAAAGCCTATTTGTGCTCAATTTAATATCGCGTATGTTTCCGGGATTAAAAATTAGTGGTTCCTAATACCTTCATCTTCGGAATTAGCCCGCGTTTTGCTTTCTAGCCTTCCTGCAGCCGC